AACTTCCCCAACCCCAGGAACCCCTATATAAACCCTGTGTATGTTCAGCTTGGCTGGTCCAGCTGTCTTCCAATAAACACCTTTGGATGAGCTTCGGGTGAAGATCTTCTTTTGCGGCTGCGACAGAGCAAAGGCGACCCTGGGCAGAGCAGAGCAGAGCGAGCAGAGGCGACCCTGGGCAGAGCAGAGCAGAGCAGAGCGAGCAGCGCTGTAACACTTGCCCGGGAAACCTTCCTTGGCAGAGCGGAGTTGTTACACTCTGCTCCCGCCCGGCTCCCTGCTCTCCGCTCTCGGCTCTCCAGGAGCAGAGCTGAACTGTAGCAACTTCGCCCGAGAAACCTCCTGCGGAGCAAAACTGCTACACTAGGCGAACATCCCCAGCTGGAAGACCCTGTCCTGCCGGAGCGGAGCTGACACACCTGAGAAGCCTTTCTCTGAGGCAAGGCTGTAAGCTGCCAAGCTTACTGCAACCTGTGGTGGTCCTTGGCTCCCGAGCTCCAGGATACCTTTCTACCTGAGCTGTGTAACACTCAGTATCCTTGGCTCCCGAGCTCCAGGATACCTTTCCACCTGAGCTGTGTAACACTGGGTATTCTGTGACTCCCGAGTGCCAGAATACCTGACCCACTAACTCCTGTTCCATCCTGTCCTGACCCATCCCGACGAAACGCTTACAAAAACATTTTTACTAAGTTCTCTAGGAACAAACTTCCCTTAAACTCAGTTCTCTGTAAGCGCTCAACTGTAGCTTTCTATTTGAAGTTGCATCATAGGTAGCTGCCCCCTCTAGTGGTTCACAAATCCCCCGAGAAGACACACAAATCTAACGTGCACCTGGATTCGGGCCGCAGAATGTAATGAAACAGTAAAGATGCCAAGGGGAGGGCCAGCAAATAGCTCAGCAGTTGAAAGTGTTGTAACATGAGGCTGATGACCTTAGCTCCATCCTGGAGCTTAGAGGTGAGAGAGCTGATTCCACAACGTTGCTGTCCGCCCTCCACAAACTCATGCCCCACCTTCACCATATACATGCACATATATTACTAACGAATAATTATTTAGGGGAAAGTTCAAGAGGAATATTTTTGAAAACATGCAAAATAAACCAGCTTCGCTTAGTTTATGTAAGAGCTGACTGATTCTTCTGATAATCAACTTTCATTAATAACTAATTAATGTTAATAGTCACACTATCTCTCCTGACTTGGTTCTGAGAGAAAGCTGATGAGATTGGCGGGAAAAGGACAAGTTCAATAAACAAGTAGCCTAAGTGACATATGTGGCCAGGGGAAAGAAGAAGGGGATGGGGGGCTCAGGTTACAGAAACCTGGGCTTCCAATGACATTCTTGGTGTCAGTTTCCCTGAAAGCAACTTCATGCCAGTTTTCATTCTGTGGGAACTCAGTGTGACTTAGCTGCAGACTTGTGTGGGTTCTGGTTTGCCATGCTGCCTCTCGAGCACGCTCCCTGAGACCTGTAAAGGAAGCTACCCCATTCGAGTGTGTTTGTGTACCTGTGTGTACCATGCATGTGTGTGCTCCCACACTCAAACCTGCTTGTGCACACCACATGTTGACTTTAATTTCAGCTGGAGTCCTTGTATTAGATGGGCTTTTCATTTTCCCTGCTTATCCCAATATGGCCAAGCTGTGCAACAATCATCTACCCACCCTCCACTGATGAACAGATCTGCCTGTTGCTAACAACACTGCCACAGAGCTGTCATTCAAGAATGGCTACTCTGCAGGGCTGCGCTGCCCTAGGGTGCCACTTTCCTGGTTGTCACTCATTGGGGAAGCACCTGCTCTTCTATGTGGCTGTCACGAGGCAGGGGCACAAATCAGAATCATGCTTGTCCGCTCCCTCACCCCCACCCTCTACCCCCCTCACCCCGTGTGCCATCCACAAATTGAGATGTCCGAATGCCATCCACGGAGTCGGTGATATCACAGAAGAGAACTGCTGAGAAGGCACACGGAGAGCTCTGAGGCAGGAACTTCTCAGACGCGGGTTCAAAGGCATCACCTGCCGAGACTGCTCAGATAGACACCTACATAGGAGGTCTGGCCTGGAACCCGAGCGGTTGCATCTCCAGCAGGTTCCCAACTGATGCCTAGGCACTTGGTCAAGAGCACATTGAGAGGAGGAAGTTTCTGCACAGTCCTGATTTGGGAAGCACTTCTTTCCAGACTCACCTTGGAGTTCTGAGACCTGCAATCAGACATATTGTGGACCGTATGTGTATTCACAAGAGAAACGGCATTTATCCCACCGATTAAAGGCCTCATTTTCACAAAATGCTAGAAATGCAAGAGAGGGGAAGGTGCCTTTATGAATTTAAAATTCCAGGATGATTGCCGATGGCTCTTGAATTATACTGTGCCTCTAAATACCCAGCTAACGTTCCTTTAATTACCTCCACCTTCGTTAACCTTGTTTTATGAATGAAGTTTATTTTTAAGGAGATTCGTGGTTTAAGCAAGACAGAGCTAGCAGTGTGGGGCAGATGGCAGAAGGAACATCACCACAAAACTCCACTTGAGTGTTAGAGAGCAAGGCAGTAGCCAGAACGAAGGCTTTGTTTCCTTTGCTAATGAAGTATCCTCATTGCCCCGGGTGTCTGAATAGCTAATTACTTGCAGTTCCTGCATCTGACAGATGGTGGCGACAGAGCTAAAGGCTAACCTCTGGAGAACCAGGGCTACAGATGGATGGAGGAAAAGTGCCTCACTTTAATGGGTTTTCCTTGAATCTTGATTTCCCACACAGAGGCTTAAAACACATATTAGCTAGGAGCTGCTCCCACTTTAATCATCATCTGATTTGTTCAAATAGTTCTTAGGTTATGAATGGTAACAGGCACCCATGTAATCCTCTATGGATGGCCATGAACTGCCAAGTGGGAAATACAGGCTTAACAAGATTCAAGTCGGTGTTTATATTTAGACCACAAACACATTCTGTAACCTCAGCTTTGGTGACATGAAACAGGGGACTGCTGAGTCTCCCTTTACTCTGTTGAGAAAACCATGCCATTTCTCACCTGTTCGTTAGACCAGTTAGTTCCCCTCTATTTCTGCATGCTAGAATCCAAGCACTATGGTTGCCTAGTTAGGTGGGTGAAGAGTTCAAGACCAAGGGCTGGAGGGATGGCTCAGTGGTTAACAACACTACCTGCTCTTCCAGAGGACCCAGGTTCAAGTCCTAGCACCACATGGCAGCTCACACACACACACACACACACACACACACACACACACACACACACTTATACATGGCAGCTCACATATATATCCACTTCAGGGGGATCCTTTTCTGACCTCCAACAGCACTAAGTGTTCACGTGTGGTGTACAGACATAGATGCAGGCAAAATACTCATATACAGAAATCAGTAAGTAAATAAACACTCTCATTGGGATAGCCCGGCTAGGCCATGCAGTGCTAGTTTATCTCAATGACAATAAACAAAACTAGAAATTAATTATGCTGAGACAGTTTAAATAGAACGAAGAGTCAAAAGCTCAAGATTTGTACCCAAGCTTAGTATAAAACAATAGCATATTCAAATGTTGTTAAGTGCAGTATATATGATTATAATCCCATTGTCTAGTCGCTAATTTTAAAGGGTTTTATTAATGTACTATGAAATATTTCAACACTTGTTTTTCTTTTAGAACATTACTATCCCAGGGAGAAACATTTCAATAATTTACTCTCTGATTCCTCTGCAGCTAAGTTAGGGTACAGGTCCAGAAGGAAACCGGTATATTGAAAAGGTCACTTTGTTTTTGAATGACTATTTATTCTTATTTATTTGCTATCATGGAATTATTGTAAAAGGAACAACTCCTAGCTTAGCTAAGATTACTTTGAAGTTCAAAAGTATTTTCAAGTCCATGGGAATTTCAAAGCCAGACATGTAGAATTGTTTTCCTATTTTAGCATAATAATGTGACCCTTATTTTGAAATTGCATGATCCGTGATGGAGTATAAAATTCTGCACCAGTCTCCCTGGTCCATGACATCTTAATTTTCCTAAGTGTGTCCATGAAACATAGACAACCATAGGCGAGTATATTCAGATGTTTTCAATAGCTTTGAAGCAGACAAGAGGAAGAAGAAAAAAAGAGAAGCCTTCCAAAATAAACTTCTATTGCATAGGAAAAAGCCTCCATCATAATGGACATGGCAAGATTTAAACAAAAGACGCACATAATAAAAATGTAAATGAGTTTGCTTTACTAAAACTATAAAGTCCTTTGTTGTAAGTTATCCTGAAACCTTCTTACAAGGTAATCACTTTGCATAGAGATTGAAACCCTCGTCTTCAATGGTGTTAACTGCCTGCGCAGCCCCTGTGACAGGCATGCAAAGCCACGTTAATGTTCAGAATGTGAATTGCCTCTGGGTGGCTCCCCCACCCAGCAGAAAACCAACTGTGTGGATATCTGCGCGCCTGATGGGCTCCATGTGGCTCCCAGCCTGCACACGTCACCCCTTTGACATGTGATGGGCTCCTCACGACACTGGCAGCACCGACACTGGGAAATGCCACAAAGGCAACAAGCCCCCTCCTTAGTCTTGCGAGTTGCCACCCCCTGGCGCTGCCCATCCATGGTCTCCCCAGCCTGCCTAGTTACAGGGGACAGCACTTGAGATACTCAGAGGGAAGTGTGGGTGGAGGGGCCCCAGCTGCCTCCCTGGACACAGCCTCCATAGTGAATTGACCTGAATGATGAGGGCACACAAACAGTATGATATGCATTATTCCTGTCAATAAAATGTCCCCATGTGCTGGGGTCTTTGTACAGAATGTACTGTGGCCTTTCTGCCAGCCAGTTCTATTTAGCCCCCTTCCTTTTTGCTATTCATATTATAAGTGTGTAATAGAATTCAGAAAATTATATGATAGTGCCTCTGTATCGGCATTGTCCTAGAGTTGCATATTTAAACACTTGGTTCCCTGCTTAGAAATATGGAATTCCCTGTCTTCACAGGACTCTTTTGCCAAGGAGTCCGGCTCTCCAAGGCCAGTTTCAGAAAAGGAATTTATGGAATACAAGACGGAGAACGAGAGGCTGCTGCAAATGATCGCAGTGCTGGAAGAAGAGGCACAGGCGAACGTGAAAGAAAATGCAATGTTAGGTAACGCTTCCAGCCCTTTCCTTGTGAAGAGTGGACACACAAAATCAATCCATTACTCTGTTTGGCTTTTCTTCTTACATGTGTCTACTTACACCTAAAGGAAATCAGTTTGATAGCTATCTGTTTTTCTTTTTAAAATAGCTTTCCTTGCTTGGGATGTAGAATTTATCTGTATTTACACTTCTGAGCCTTGCCGTGAGAACTCAGAGTGCCTGTTTAAGAAATACACGTTAGCCTTAGCACAAAAGGGGGCAATCAGTTTGTTCTACTTCATGTAGAAGTACTATAAACAGACACGTGTGGCCATTTTCTTTCACACGCTGATGGTCTAAACTATAACACACATAAGGGAACATGTTAAGATGCACTTGTGGAGAAGCAGGCTTAACTTTTTAGAACAGAATACACTCAGTTTCTGACAAATTTTGAATGCAAATTTTCCTTTTGACACTTTGGATCTCCTTTTGTTCAGACCATAAACATCGATAAAAAGTTATATTTTTATCTCTAGAAGTACACTGCTTTAAGACATTAGATTTTTAACTGTTGCTGTTGTATTTGTGTTTTGTTTTTTGTGTGATGCTCTGGTAACCTACAGTCTGGAAGCAGAGTAAAGATTAAGAACATGGGTGTGAGCCTTGGTGAAATGAGTCATAATATAGTGTCCCTTTAGGGCAGAATGATGCCACGCCTCTGTGACTCCATTTCTCTTCAGATGTGGTAGGACAATGCTTTCTCAGGTTGTGGTCTTTAGCAAATCATAAAGTGCCACCTGCTGAAGCACTTTGCATTGGCTGTAGCTAACAGAAAAAAAATGCTCACTGCTAGTATTGATGGAAAGCATCTAGCCCTCAGCCACACTTGGATCTTGAACTTACTTCTTACTCCCTATCTGACCGGCTAATCTAACAGCAGGAAGAAGGCTATGAATGTCAAGGGCATTTGTGAAGGTCACAATCCTGCTAGGGTGTGTGCACACCATGCCTGCCGGTGCCTCTACAGCCTGCCCCAAAGCAGGCAGTTTGAATACAGGGGCATACGTGTGTAATTTCATGGTCGGCCTCTCTCTCCTTTTGTTTACAGAGGATGAAATTATGTGTCTGAAAGAGATGTCAGACCAGGATCAGAGAACTATTCAAAAAGTACGTACATCTTTTACATTGATAAATGACTCTTTTTAAATTGAAATATCAGCACCATTGGTGAAATGACATTATGTCCAGGGTATCTTCAAATGGACACAAAGTTGACTTATACGTTTCCCCACTATGTCATTTTAATGACATGATTTCCTTATTATCTGGAATAATGTGGCAAGTAATAAGAATTCGGATGGAAAAACCCATTGTAATATTGATCATCTCTTCTTTGGAAACACATGAACATCTATCTTGTTGGTTGTAAGGAACCTACAAGTTACACCATGACTTTGAAAGTTTCCAACCTTTGCTTGTAAGCATCTGTTACTAAGAATGAGACTGCACTGTCACATCTTGTTTTCAGGACAGATGTTGGTTGATGCTCTTCTATTCTGAGTGAGAATTAATTGGCTTACTTTGCTAGGTCCGTCTTTACTTATAGCAAGAAGGGTCTCAGCATCATGAAAATCAAGAATCCCCAGTGCAGTTGACACACAGGACCAAGGCAGTGGCTCCTCCCCCAGCTCCTGCTGGTGAGCCACCCAGCTTAAAGTCTTCTGAGCAGCGCTCTTCCCCTGCTCAGTCTTCCCTGTACTGTGATCCCCAGTGCAAACAGCACACTGTCTCATCTGCGCTGAGGACCATGCCTGGAAGCCTGAAAAACACTCCTGTAGGGAGGCATAGAGTGAAGATGCATTTAGCGTTCATAAAATTTACAAATAAAAAGGCGGACCCACATCCCCAAATTATTCTAATAAACGAATGTATTTTTCAGCAACTCAACCAATTTTTTAGGTTAAACTAGGCAAAATTAAAAGCATAGATCTTGGGGCTGGAGAGAAGGCTCAGTGGTTAAGGGCACTGGCTGTTCTTCCAGAGACCTGGGCTCTATTCCCAGAGCCCACCCATCCAGCTATAACTCCAGCTATAGGAGATCTGATGGCCTCTAAGTACAGGGCATGCACTTGATACACAGACATACATGCAAGCAACATAACCATACATATAAAAATATTTAAAAATAATAAAAGAATATATATGTATTATGTATACTCACAAAAACAAACAAAAAGCCTTTACTCTTTGATTACACAAATCACATTTCAAAAGTATGTTGGCCACATGGACCCAACTAGTTTAGGGTCAGGTTCCAACCATGTCTGACTTTGCAGTGCAGGATATTCTTAGAGTTTAGATAAAACTCGTTTCAAGAACTCTAGTGATAGATCAGAGCTGGGCCATGATTTCCTCTGCTAGGTAGGGTTCCATGAAAAGATTTAATTTTCTCAGGCTTCACCTGGTCTCTTCCAGTATTACTGTAAACCCCACTGTTACAGAGTAGCAATGGCATTTGCGGACAGTCCATGATTCTCAGGATTGGTTTCGCTAGTGTAAAAGTGAAATATCCAGATTCTGGTTTTACTTTGCCTACAAGGGAAGCACACTCTTCATAACAAGCTCCTCAGGCCACTCATCCTCACTATGTGGATTACAATATGTGCCTAAAGCCAAAAATGTCCCTTGTATGTCCTCAAGGGTGCAAACCATGCCCCGGGGGAGCTGAAATTCCTTAGTCACAGGCTACCACAGGTTCTAGATGTGCGATGCCCAAGGCTGCCTCCTGACCACATGTGACCACTGAACACTTGCATCATGGCCAGGGCGGCCTCCCTCCCAGCCACTTGTGACTATATGGCCAGTGCAACTGAGGGGATTCATTTTGAACAATGTTAAATTTAAATGGAAAAAAGAACAATGCTTCTTTCAATGATTGAAAAAAAACCTTCATGTTTTCAGTAACTTAGATAACGAATCTGCCTTCTTCTTTTTAAGTTTTCTGAAATCTACATAGATAAGAATTTAGTTCTCAAATTTGTCTTGTATTTGAAAAGGATATATATATATCAATATATATATATATCTGTTTTTAAAAATTTGATGTAAAATATGAGATATTTCCTCATAATTTTACTATTTATTAGTATTTGGAGTATATATGTAGGGATGGATAAAAATGTAGTTTAATATCATGTTTTACTTTTTACTTTTAAAATTGAATGCACATATTTCAATCCTGATGTATTTCTGTTTGCCAGCTCTGTTTTAGATAATTACAGCAGTGGTTCTCAGCCTTCCTAATGCTGCGACCCTTTAACACACCCCTCATGTTGTGGTGACCCCCAACCATAACATTATTTTCATCGCTGCTTCATAACTGTAATTATCTGATATGCAGGGTCTCTGATATGCAACCCCCAGGAAAGGTTCATTCGACCTTTCAGTATAATCTGCTACAGAATAGCAAATCTCTTTCAGTTCAGTCCACCTCTGAAAGTCCAGTGTTTTCTTTTGCTTTTCCTTTTAATCACTAGATCTTACTACAGACATGAAACATAGACTCGCCTTTTGAGAAGAAAAAAATCTGGACCCCTAGGTTCGTCTTATTTCTATCTTGTCCCTGTAGGCTAGTTCTTGCCCCTCCCCATCTTTCTCCCAGGCTTACTATGTATGTAGTGTAGACAGTGTGTGTGCACGTGGTTTGTCAACTGCACGCAGATCAGACCCTGCCCAATAAGAAAGAATGGATCTTTGAAGTTTGTTCCCAATACCCTTCAGCAAATTAGTTCCATGGTGTTTATAAAGTGATTTTGCATGTCACACACTACACTACTGATAGAAAAGTTTAAATGTGTGGACATGCAGATGGACAGAGAGAGAAATAGAGAGAGAGAGAGAGAGAGAGAGAGAGAGAGAGAGAGAGGGAGGGAGGGAGGGAGGGAGGGAGGGAGGGAGGGAGGGAGGGAGGGAGAGAGAGAGGAAGAGAGAGAGAGAGGGAGAGAGAGAGAGAGAGAGTCATGAACCAAAGTTATGCACCAAAACTACAGAGCAGAGTGATGTCATGGAGAAGAGAAGTTGGCTCAGCTCCATCTGGAGGATTCTAGAAAACCTTCGCAGATATTCCCATGTTCTTTCTCCCATGGTCCTCTTAGGAGGGCTGCTTGAGCTGTTATTTCCCAGAGAACAAGAGGACACAGAGGCTGGCGGTCAAGTGTGAGTTTGTGATGAGTGATGTGAAGTGTATTCCAGGACTTTCAGAAATGTGACATGGCTGGCTCATGTAATAGGGACCTGTTGAAGTGACAAAGTAAGGATCTGCTGTGGAACACAGCGAGGAAGACTAGGGCATGGGGAAGAGGCAGGCCAAACAAGATCAAACGGAGACAAAAACCAACTCAAAAGCTTCAGCTAAGGAACAACTTCGCTTCCTTCATCAGTAGATATAATAAATAAAGAGATAAATAAATAAATAACAAGTTCCCTTCTTTAATCAGTAGATATAATAAAATAAACAAAAAGCAAGTTCCCTTCTTTAATCAGTAGATATAATAAATAAATAAATAAACAAATTGAAAATGGGTCTGAGTTTGGGTTAGCCAACTCTCACCTTCTGTCCAGGATATCTGCCCTACTGTATGGAATTCAGTAGCATTTGTGTTTTAATTCAAGTGATCTAACAAAGGAAGTCTCTACGCCTGTTCTCCATCGGCTGCCACCTCACAGTCCCTTCTTGAAATGTCATTCTAGTAGGTGGCAGACTGGGAGGCAAAGGGGACCGTACCAATGAGATGCCCCACAGACTGAGGAGGCCGCAGGAGGTATGCCCAGCTTTGGTGATAGGGAGAGCAAAGCCAGCTGAAGGCAAGGCATTGAGCTGTCTCCCACAAGCCACACAGAGCTAGACAGGGAACAAATGGAAGTCCAGAAGCCAGAAGCCACATCATAAGGGGCAAGGTGTGTGGTTTCACTAGATTGGGGGGGGGGTAAAGGAAAGGAAGGGTGGCAAAGGTCATTCACGGCAAGGGGTTGGATGTCTTCTGAGTCCCTGAGAAACCTGGACACTGTGCTAGGCTAGACCTGTGATTCTGATTAATGGGGCGGGGGAGAGGGGATCTGAGCCAGGGTAACAAGTCAGTGGGTGACTTGGATAAGCAGTAGACAATACAGAGTCTTGAACAGTGACTCTAGAGATGTTTATCAGGTTAGTAAATACAATTCATTGATTGAATTGAACAAAGGTCTAAATTAGGGTTTGAATTTTACTGATATAAACAAAGAGTGCTTCAACTACAAAAAAAAAAGCTACATGCATAAGGACCGGTAAAATGTGTAGTTTTAAGGAGTATTTTCAGTCAATATGAAATAGTTTGATATGTAAGTAAATATAACACAAAAAATCTGTAGCAAGAGAATGTGTCATACAGAAAGTTAGGCAAAGCCATTATGGGGGACACACTAACTCACTGGGTCACATGATGATGTCATATTGGACAGTGGTAAGGAAAATTGTAAGTATATTGGCATTGTTTTTTTGTGTATTAGCTTGGTTATATAATAATATGAGACCATAATAGTCAGTAGGAAATTATTTTTTCCTTTGGTCACCTTAGGATCCATTTTACTCCCATTTGAAAATGTGTTTTTACCACATTCTACTGAGGAAAGCATTTTAGGTGTTGTGCTCTTATCTTTAACCAAAATGCCATTATTTTTCTCTGTTACAGTTAATGGACAGTAGAGACAGACTGAGATATGAACTGGATTGCGAAAAATTAGCCATTCAAGATTTGGTAAGATGATGTTTATTCTCCCTGAGGAGTCTGAGTTGGAGACTTTAGTTTCACCTGATTATGTTTGGGGCTTCATGTGTAAGTTTGCTGTGAACAGTGTTCCACCTTCATCAAAATCCTAACTATGTGTAATTGTAGAAACTTTTAAGTAGGCATTTGGAGGAAAACTTAGAATGAAGGTATGATGAGCTGGAAGTAAACTCTGGGTAAGAAACAGTATGACAACTTAAAATGGTGTACAGAGCATTTTCCAGATTTTATTCTGGAAATCTGAAAGCAAGATGAAACCTGAAACCCGGGATTTGGAAGGATTGGTTATTTTTAGTTACAAATTGCAGTTAGTGACAACAAGAAAAGAGCCCAGCTCAATAGTTTGGCATTCTGTGGTAGTCTCCTAAGACAACACTGCCTTTTCATGGTCTTAAAGAGAACTTTCCAGACGGCTGGCCTTTTATCAGTTGACTCCCCACCCCCAGGCCCTCAGCACCAGCTCCTGGTGCTGCACTGGCTTTCAGCTGATTGCCACTAGTATGTCTTTGTTACAGTAAGCTGTGTTTATTATAATAAAACATAAAACCCAGCTTGACTTGGGTCTCCAATGTGCTTGGAAAGAATATGACTCTGTCTGCAGGAGACAAGGTTGCTCCAGGAAAGCCACACCACTTCAGATAGTGAAACATTTGCTTTTTCACAGCTTGTCACACTTGTGCCAAGTTGTGACTGTCTCCCCAATTCTGTTTTGTTACTCCCGGGCACCCTGTGTTTTGGGTTTCTTGTCATAGAAATTAATGCAAAACAATGGTCCTGGATTACAATGAAGCCTTCTATTAAACCAACTTGGGAATCCAGGCGGGAGTGGGGGGGGTGGGGAATTAAGACCCACTATTCACAAACACCACGTGTTAGCAAATGCATTATTTGGTCCTTTACTTTTAAATACCTGCATATAAAAAGCCTCCCTGCTTTGAGAACACTTGGTGGATTTCTGGTATTCTCATAGCCTGTCTTCCTCTGCTCTTCTAGTGAAGCCCAGCCTCTGCCCCCAAAAGAGCTAAACACACACATAGTGACTAAAGGGCAGTGTTTTTATTGGGTGAGAAGTAAATGTGACATTGTTAGTTTGTCAGCAGCAATTGAGAGGAACCGCAGCCGTCCAGCAGTGAATTTTGTGCCTGTACTGGGAGTAGACCCCATGCCCTTTTCTTTTTTAAGAACTGTAAGTGTTCAACGGGTGCTATTGTGTCACCCACAGGGGAACCAATCCTGTTTTATTTTCTTGTTTAGAAGTTTGTTGAGCCCCAAGCTTGTTGCCAAGCAGCAAGAGCCTGCCTCAAAAAGAAAACAAACAAACAAAACAAAACAAAAACAAAAACAAAAAACCAGAACAACACTAGAGTTTTTAGTATGCTTAGAACCAGTTTGGGGAGTTCCAGTTTTCAGTAGGGGCATGAGTTTAGATCCATCCTCCCAACGAAGGTCGCCATGGTGGACTTTCTTCCCTCCATCTCCCCCAGGAATTGATGCTGCTTTAGCGGGAGGTGACTTTAGGGATCTTTGGCACTGTTGTTTCATGCTATGCTATGTTTATTCATAAACCAGAGTGCAGGAGTGGAAAAAAGTGGAGCTGGCCCTTATTTTATAAACATCTAATTTCTCACTAAAGGTCTCCTTCTATTCTGTGGTTTTCTATTACAGTTTCCCAAAATATTTTCTGGCCTATTAAGAGTCTCGTGTAAAAACTAAGTGTGTATATAAAAAGCAACAGCAATACAAGAATAGGTAGATAATCACATGTGCTATGTTAGAATTGTCACGAGACAAATACTTGAGAAATCAAAGGAGGGAAGAGTCACTTGGGCACACAGTTTCCAAGATTCCATACTGTGGCCCTCAAGGTTCATTGCTCCTAAAGCCTGTGGTGAGGTAGAACATTGTTCCTAAACCTGTGATGAGCTAGAACATTGTTCCTAAACCTGTGATGAGCTAGAATATTGTTCCTAAACCTGTGATGAGCTAGAACTTTGTTCTTAAATCTTTGATGAGCTAGAATATTGTTCTGAAACCTGTGATGAGCTAGAACTTTGTTCCTAAACCTTTGATGAACTAGAACATTGTTCCTAAATCTGTGATGAGCTATAACTTTGTTCCTAAACCTTTGATGAGCTAGAACATCTGAGGGCAGAAATGGTGAAGCATAAGGTGTCAGCAAGAGGCCAACAGAGGGACCCAGGACAAGACATAGTCCCCCAAAGGCATACTTTATATTTTATCTAGCTAAAGCATCACCTTAAAGTTTCAACTACTTCCTAATAATTCTGGCCACTCATTAATCCCTTAGTATATAAATCCATTGATTAGGTCAGAGTATAAATGACACAATAGCTTCTCCATGATTGGATCTATTTTCTACAGATCTAACTTTTATTACACATGTCTTTTGGGGGGAGTTTCATTTCCCTGCAGTAGCATGAGAAATTGTATCCCTAGAAGGGGCTTAGAGGAAGCACAGGAGATAGTAATGCATCTTCCTACAGTTCCTAAGAGGGTATTTTTATTTGCCTTGAAGTGCACAAAGGAGTGAGTTCTCCATCAGAAAAGAAGCTTGGCTGAGCTCCTTTTTTGGCCCAATATCCATATGTTTCATCTCTCTCTGCTTTCTCAGAGCTGCCTAAGGTTAAGACAGACAGGAAGTACAGTTTGTGCTCTAGTGCGATTCTGGGGACCAGCACTAGCAGACTCCTAAGGTCTACTTGCTTCTGTAACTGGGTTCCAGAAGTCCAAATGCCCTTGAATGCATGCTTCAAGTCGGCCCAGTCCTATTGTGTGTGATATGGCAGTGTTTGGCCCACCAGATGGGAAACTGATGTCTCCAGTGATCTGAGCGAAACCTCACTAATCCCAGAATTCTGGAAAGACCAGCACCAAATGATCAATGGTGGTGAGTGACTGGTCACTGTGTGCCAGGCTGTCAGAGGAGTTCTATTCTCACATTCTCACTACCCACTGGTCAGTCCAATGTGTCCCCCGCAGTCCTGGACAGCTGAAATCCCTACTCAACCAGTACTAATTACACAGTAAACAAGCAGAGAGCAAAGTTGGTGACAGGAAAAGCTCCCTCCATTAATTGTTGTTCAAAATTTCCACCGTACACTCATAAGAGCTATGAAAGTTTTAAGGTAAATAACACCTTATTGTTATGAAAATAATTTACGATTTACAGAAACTAAAATGGCTTAGGGACTCTGAGGATCCTTGGACCACACTTTGGCATCTGCTACACTACTTACTAGTAAGTTGAAAATACACCTAGTCAGTCACAAAGGAAGTGTCTTGCTCTTTTATGCTTGATCCCCTTCCTTTCCAATTCATGTATCCACTAATAACTTTTCCTTGGCACACTGCTGTTAAAATGTTACATTAGTACACCCCTGCTTCTTCTTTTCATTATTCTTTATAACGTTTTTGAGGCAAGATCCTGCTATCTAGCTCAGGCTGTCCTAATACCACATCCAGTTGCATTAATATATCTCAATGGGCTGTGCCCTTAATGTTAGGCTTAGTCAGAAAGTTCCAGATAAGGGTCTCTAGAGATGGCTCATCATGTAAAAGAATTTGCTGTGCACGCATGAGGACTTGTGTTCCAGGTGTTTCCATGCATAGCAGTAACTCCAGAGCTGGGCATGGGAGGTATAGCCACAGGTATGCTCAGAGCTTGCTGGCTGCCAATCCAGCTGAAAGTCAGGAAGTTCTAGGTTCAGTCCTAGACCTTGTCTCAGTGGAATGAGGTGAAGAATGATAGACCACTCGACATCAGTCTCTTGTCTCCTCCACTTCTTTCAGCTGTACCCCAACCTCTAAAAGCATTGGTTCTCAACCTAGGGGTAGCAAACCCCATGGGGCCTCATATTAGATATTTACATTAGGATCCATGACAGCAGCAAAATTACAGTTAAGAAGTAGCAAGGAAATAATTATATAGTTGAGGGTCACCACAACATTAGGAAGGTTGAGAATCACTCTTAAGTTTATACAACCTCTCAAGGCCAACAGCTGGGGACAAGGGTTCAAATACACAAGCCTATGGGGGACATTTTACATTCTAGTCACAACTAATGTTAAGCATAAGTGTGTAGAATCCGCCTCTCTTTTTAAGGATGTGCATGGCTGTCACACATGACTATGAAGAGATGCGCCTGTGGTCCAGCATCTGTTCTTACTTTTTCCATCTGGCAACTCAGTGGTGAGATGTTCAGCAGGCCCGAAGAGAGCCTGGCAGCTCTGCCAGGCATCCATCCACACTAACAGTTCCTCTAAGAGCCATCCCTGGCCAGGCACCTCCTTCCTAGTGGAACATGAATGCTGATCCTTATGATGGGATTTCTTTGCTCTATTCCTCAGGTCAAAGCCTTCAAGTAACGAAGAATGATGAGCCACAGTCGGTAAATTCTGTCGGTCTCTGATTTTATAAAGGTCTTTGGCTTCACCATCAAGTATGATATTTGTTGTAGGGTTTACTCCTGCCTGCAGAGGCTTTTTAGCCCTCAGAATGGGTACATGTGAGATGCAGAAGACGGGGTGTTATTCTTCTCAAATACTTTACATACATCTATTCAGATAATCATATGCTTTCCCTCCTCTGACCAGATCATGTTCAGTTATTGCAGTAATACCTCTTATCCAGTCATTAGAAAGCTTCATGTGCTTTTTTCTTTTGCATTTTGCAACCATTGCCTTGTACTGTGAGTGAGGCCCATCTGTGTTGTTACATCACAGAATAAAGTAGAAGTAGAATAAAGGAGAAAGGACCGATCATTAGATACTGACTTATTGATTTGTTTAGAGACTTAAGTACTGATTGTGATGCCTATTTGCTAAGCATGACTTCATTGGCTACCTGGAACAAAACCACCTAGAGGAATACCTGAAACAATGTGTTGTTGCCCTTAACAACCTGCTCACTGCCACACAAGCTTCCCTGTAAAATCTCACGTGCTTACTCA